GTGCTATACGGGTGTTTCCGTTTTAGATCCATCAATAACTGTGCACTTCATCAATTCCTGGCTCAACGATCCACTCAAGGTGGAACACTCACGGGATTCTCTTATCGTTCCAGTCCCCATCTGAACTGAACTAAACTACCCTGACTGTAGCAGGCATCCGTCACGGGTAACACTTTAATCGCTTATCGTTAGGAGGTCGCTCCGGTCTAGGTGCAAGCTGATATTATATTTTTACATTTTACACTTCGTACCCAAACTACCCGGGGGATCTCCAGGCCACTACAGGTTGTGCGCATCTGGTTGATGATTTTGGGTAGCAGGACCAAACCATTCCTTTCTCCTTACACTCATTTTCTGCTTTCCTTTTTGGTTACTCACCTATCTTAGTATTATAATTGTTTAACTCTCCTCCTCTTCTTGCCTTCCATTTTTACTGTTTCCTCTTTGTTACTTCACGTAACCAGCCCAGCAGAGATTGCCAGTGCAAGATACGTGGGTAGTAATTGGTTGGTCGGGGTGTGATACGGTCTTTGTTTTAGGTTCATCCATATTCCGAAGTTCTTCAACTCCTCATTCAACCACGTGCTGCAGATTGCACCCTCACGGGACAATCCAATCGTTCCAATCCCACTTGAACCTGATCTACGAGTTTGACTATGATATTAACCTTGCTCAGCCTGGGTTTGTTGACCCTTTAAATATCTACGGTTTACAGTGGTTTGCTTTCGAATTTGTGTAACATCTGTTACCGAATTAAATGAAAAGTATACGATATAATCACTCTAACCGTCGTTTTAGCTTTGAGGTCTCATTTGCAAACGGATCCTGGCTTATCAATGTAGTTAACACTTATTTGCAAACAGTACTATTAGTTCTATGCGCATTGGTGCGGTTATTGTAGAAGCTTATCCCCAGTTTACGATGAAGTCGGCTCAGTGCTTAGTTCGATTTCTTCTCCAATTAAAGTGGGCAAAATCGACGCTGCGATTTACAGCCGAATCGCGAAAATGTTCCGCGTCAGTGAATTCCCTACCATCCGTTTGTAAGTTTCTCATATTTTTGCATTAAACTTAAAGTATCTATTTATATTATCGGGATACATTTGCACATAGCTTCGGAATGAGCTGGTCCTCCAACCCTTATAGCACTATCCGACGTTCAACTGTTCGTTTTCTGTCCATTTCCTGATTGGGATCGTTGTGTGGAAAGCAAAAGCATTTAAATCTATTAAAAGCTGTACTGAATATTGTCTGGATGATAAGAAAATTGTAGCATGACAAAATGTTAGCGAATAGATGGCTTTGATTGTGAGTAAGTTCTGCGAGATTTTCTGTGTGGCGGATTTCCGTCCAACATCGGAGTGCAATCAATATGTGAGAAACGAAGTCCTTAACGTCAGCGAAAAATGAGTTGCGTAGATGCGAAAACCTGACTTTCTTCATCACTATTCTTTACGTGCAGCCCCTGCGCAATGCATCTTTCCCACCTCAAGTGCCCGCCGGGTGTCCGATTTCCGCCCCTTCGACCTGGCGACCATCCGAATTTTGTCCGACAAACTGTGACGGAACAAGTTTCTGACAGAAATCGGTCAAAATAAAAATCGGATGCACTTACTAATTCCGTCTTTCGTTGAACCCAATCCCTATTAATATTTAATACCGCCACTTAGCGATTGTTCAGACAGCATTTGTTAATGTCGAAACCTACGGAATCCTTTTACAGTGCCCCGAAACATAATTTTGGTATAGAAACATTTATTTCCCAGGAGCTACTCGAAAGGTATAATAACGAAGCGATGTGATGAAAAATGCCAAGCATGGATTTGCACATGCCTACTCCTTTTTCCATGGTCGCCGTTTCCTATCTAATAATTTCACTCTGATATCGGACGGAAATCGGACACTCAAAATACTCACATACCTTACACATACTCATAGCTATCTACTTGCTATACGTCGCTTCATATTTCTGATCGTTGACGCAGCATTCATTGTATGTGTTGATCATGTCATCTATCTTTTTACTTTCCACATCGATCTGAATCCGGAATCTGACGGGAATCGGACAGTTGCCGGTCTGATGGCGCTATCAGGGAATGGCGTATTGAGTCACTGCGAAACCGTTCCGTGGGTTTCTTTAATATCAGATGTAGTCTGAACAAGCGCTAACAAGTAGCACTCAACAAGTATGGTTTGGGAATCGACGAATCACAGCATGCGTTAGTGCTGCCACTTTTTGACCACGATTTCCTTCCCGAGTTTGTTCCATCGTCACTTTTTCCAGACGGAACTTGAATAATCATTGAAGCTAACTGGGACAAAAATCGGTCACTCGGCGTACACTTGTGCTATTAGGGAACTTATGCTGTGTCAAAGCTGTGCCCATCATTGTCATTAGTTACAAAAGATATCCTCTCGATGTTACACGAGGCACACCAGCGAAGGCATGATCAGTTTAGTACAAGCAGATATGTGACACTTGCTGTTTGACCAAATATTAATCTTGACAAAGAAAGTGTGTAGGTTCTCGTGATCCAAGATATGGGATGTGGCTGTTATAAATGTTTCCATTGTTTATTTTTATTGGTCAGACAAATCCGTTTTATTGCAATTTGATGTAAACTGTTTTATACCTTCGCGACCTGAGCATCTAAAACGATTTACAAGTTATCGGTGCAGCTCATCGCTAGTGGCTGATAAATGTGCCCAAAGGTGACTGACAGGATGCCGCTGTAACCGACTTAGGTGCTCCTGTTTGTCCCAGTGTAACAAATTTCTCACGGATTTCGGTCACCAAAAATATTTCCTTACTTAGCATTAACACATGCAATGAATTCACTTACCTGGTCTCAAATGCCATCCCCACTCAATGCAAATCGACTCCTACAGCGTTATTACGCAGTACCGTGAATTTGTTAGTGGTTGCTTTGTGACAAATTTATCTGCATGAGACGGCCATTCATCAGATGCCCATCGGTTACCTGCAATGACTAGAATAACGATTTTCTTGGAAACGGATGGCGTATAAGTTATGGGCGCTTACTTTAGTGATGCATCATATTGTGTAATGCTACGCTTGTATGCATTTTTTTTCATCATCATCAATACACGTTAGGTGAGAGTGAGAAATGCCTCCGCTAATTTGCCGCAATACAAGAAGGTAAGAAACTAAAAATAACACTACAAAATATTCAAAAAGTCAAGTAATATAATGTTAAATATCATCTTACTAATTTGCTATGAGATCATGATTGGAAATAACCATATTGTGTCGGCTATACGCCGTAAGGGCAGTTGGCTGCCACACTACCAACACCAGTCGCGCGCGGGCTGAGTATACCGCGAGGACGCCCGCACCTACGCGGATTCGAACCGATCATCTTATGATTGCAAGCAGGCATGCAGACCACTCGTGATTGGAGGGAAAATCTAAGGGATAGGGGGATGGACAATCATCATCGTCAACAGCACTACATCAGCCATTTGAACTGGTGCTTCGCTGCCATAAAACCATGGGGACCTATGAAATAAAGAATAAGAAGAGGGAGAGAAGGGGGACTTACGTGAAAATCTAAGCAAACATTCAGGGTCAAGGCGCCTACACCTTGTGTAGACAACATACCGTCACAAGCAGCTGGCTATCGTGCAAAGTTAAGGCGGCATCGGCGAGACAGCTTCCTTGCGGCTTTCACTGCTCCACGTCATAATCAGCCCTTGACCCGCAGATAACTCAGCACCACACTTTAAACAAGCAATCCGATTAGGAGATGGCAGCAGTCGCGCCACTGGTGTCTACTGAGAACCATGTCCTGTAAAGTCTCGAGCCAGGCACAAGGCGAGTCACGTGGACTCCAGCCCGGAAAGCGAGACGGATCAACGGCACCCAGTTTGGTCGTCAGTGACTTCATTTCCCGCTGCTAAATAAACTTCTGTCCACTTCGAGGCTTGCGCCACCCTACACCTGGCAGACTAAACAAGATCCTCCTAGGTAAGCGGTGACCAGGCATACGTAGCACGTGCCCGAGCCAACGCAACTTATTCAGTGCTATCTGTTGTTCTAGGGAGCTAGCACGATTATCACCACCTAGTACTCGCCTACGCACATCACCGTTGCGGACACGCTGGTGCCATCCGACACCAGCAATGCTTCGCAGACAACGATTATCAGACTTGAAGGCGCCTCAGATCTTCAAACCGAAGGGGCTAAGTCTCACTACCATAGAGCAGAACGGCCCTCACAGTGGCCTTGTATACCCGGCCTTTCAGACGGAGGGAAATTCCCTTCTGTCACCAAAGATGCCGCAGGTTCAAGAAGGTAGCTCTGGCCTTCGCAATGCGTGAGCTGATGTCAGTTTCTCTGCGCCTGTCATTGCTGATGCAGCTGCCAAGATAAGTGAAATGATCAACCACGTCGAGTTCCTCGTTAGCAAGCGTCAAGGGGTCGTCAAGTGGCTGGTGGTCCTGCAGCAACACTTTGTACTTTGAAGGTGCGAAGTGCATACCAAATAATTGGACCACTCTGAACAGGCTATTCAGGGTTGATTGTGCCGTTTCAACATCGTCGAAAAGCAAGACGATATCGTCCGCATAATCTAGACCAACTAACTTTCCACCAGGCAGCACGCCTACATCGTGAGATTCCGCAAGGGAACATTCCATGATAGAATCACCGACGAAATTGAACAAAAATGGGGAAATCGGACAACCCTGACGAACGCCACTTGTGGTCGGAAAGCTATCTGATAGGACACCGTAGACCCTGACACGGCCTGTAGTGTTCGAGTATAGAGCACGAAGGATGTTCACATATTTCGTGGGAACACCTTTCCGCGCAAATATTTCGAACAGAATCGATCGATCGACTGAATCGAACGCACTCTTGAAATCGAGGAACACAGCTATTGTCGGTCTGCGGTGTGCGTAGCGCTGCTCTAGCACCTGCCGCAAAGTGAATATATAGTCTATGCAGCCACGTCTTGGGCGGAAACCGGCCTGCTCTTCCCTAATCCGAGATTCCCGTTTCGCATTGATGCGACGAACGATAATCGAGGCCAATAACTTTGTCACAACTGACGTTAAGCTAATACCCCTGTGGTTAGAACAGTCTGTGCGACTGCCCTTCTTGTATATTGCCACTATAATCGACTCGCTCCAATTAGTCGGGACACTTTCTTCCAGCTACATTCGAATAGGGAGGTCAGTGCTTTGCAGATGACCTCACCTTCATCCTTAAATAGTGCAGGTGGGAGGGAATCCGGGCCAGCGGCACGAAAACGATTGAGGGCTGTAATCGCGTTTCGGACCTCGTCCTCCGACGGAGGCTCTAAACTATGAAACAATGAAATTCACATAACAGACGCCATTGGGGTGTCTTTTAGCCATGTAAACAAGTGTGTGGAACCAAACGTGTTCATCGTCCTCCGGACCCCAGCCCTGCAGTCGGGATGCACCAACCGACGCCAACTTCGTAGTGAGGATTTTCATTCATCGTGACTAAGTCATTGCTTGGCGTCCCCTCCTTCTCTTCCATCCAGACCCCGGATGCACATACAACGCACGTCACGGGAGTCGGTGGGCTGTCATGCGCAACATGTAGTCAAGCAATCGGCGCCTGCTGCGTGATATAGTAGTGCTAAGCGAGTCACTCGCTTTTCCTGCACCAAATACACTACGCCGCACACATTCATTGCTCACGCAGTGCTCCCACCAGACATAAGCTAAGCTGCAAAGGCAACGATGTCTGTCGACCTGATGGGCCAGGTTTCACAACCTTATAGGAGGGTCGAACGGCCGGCCGCATTGTAAACGCTGTCCTTCAAGGTGAGAGTGACGTCGCATCCGCGTCATAGATGGTAGACATTGACAAAAGAACCTCCAACTTTTGCTATACGGTTCTTGATCTCACCTTCAGGCCCACGGGCGTTAATGTAGCTGCCCAGTACTTGAATTCCTGAACGACTTGTAGCTGACCACCTCTGAGGGTCAGTGCAGTGGTAGGTCCCTGCCAATCTTGGAGACGGACTTTGTATTTCGAAGGAGCAAT